GACAAAGCACAACATACCTATTCATCTCTGATTCTACTGTGTTTCCAGCATGGTCTGTTATTTTAACTTTAATGAAACCTCTCCTGTTGCTTTTATTCCAGGTAGTAATGTCCAGTAAGTAGTTGTACACTGCAAAAAGAAATAGAAAATCATGAAAATCAAAGAATTATCTCAACAGGATACAGTTGTTATTATCACCCTGTTAAAAGCATTCACTGGATGATGCTAGGAATAGTGACTCTTTACTTTTAACCTACCAGTTCAAAGGAGAATAAGAAGACTACTGACAGAAATTATTTCTGTATAATTAATGTATTTTTTCCTCCAGTTCTTGCATGGACAGGATGTGCATCAGAAAGCTATCACCAAAATTACCATGAAGAGTTTGACCTGCCTACGGAAAAACTACAAAATCAAGCCCTAACTAGCACCTTCAGGTTTTGGCAAAGAGGGGATATTATTTCTGCATTGGCAGAAGCTTTATGTATGATCAAAGTGGGCAGTTACTTGGGTGAGCTGATTATTCAGGAGGTAAAAGCTGAAAGCATTCCCCTGCCTTGCTTGGCAGGACAGCTCCTCCAAACAGCCTTCCCTCAGAGAAGTCAACCTGCCAAAACCTCTGTGTGGATTCTAGAAAAAATCCTGGGGAAGCCTGAGGAAGACAAGAGCTTTCTTACACTCCATCCCTAGATCCCCCCACTCTGGAAGGACCACAGCCTCAGGAAAACAGGCTGGGTACCTGGGCAGGAGCTGACCTGCTCCAGTGTGCCCTCAGAGACCTGTCCTGGCCTTCTGCCACACTTCTGAAAACATCAAAAATACTGTAACTGTGCTGTGACTGTCCAGAGGAAACACACCTTTACTGCTCCCACAGTACACACAATTATTTTTTTTTTGGCATGTTGCTTTTTAACATTCTCTCCTAAAAGATCAAGCCTCACATTGTATGAAAAGCTTGTCCTGCTCAGGCTTACTGTTTCTCTCATTTTTAAGACCTCTTGTTTATTCTATTTCCTCAGGTTTCCTAATATCTAAGGTAATTCTTAGGATTTAGTTAATCAATACTCTCTTTTTCAGACTGGTGTAGTAGAATAATTTTACTTCTTGACTTTGCATATTTTCTCTTATATTTATGCTGTCATTACAATATTTCTCATTCTGTTCCATGGGTCTCCTCCTATGTCCGATAATATTTCTCTCCTCTTTTCTCTGTTCTACCACCTTCACCCCAGAATATTTCTTTTCCTTTAGCAATATACTCTTTCTTTCCCCCACCAGGATTCTGCCTGGTTATATTTCTGATGAATGCCCAACTTTTAATATGTGTAAGAGTGAAAGCAAAGCTGTGTTTTTCAGCTGGTAGAATGAATGAGGAGCCAGACCTAGCAGCCTGGGCAGCCTTGAGAGCAAAGCCCAAGCAGACAGGAGCAGGGGAGAACAGTAGTAGCAGGTTTGGGTTGAGCTGAAAGACACACAGAATAGGAGTTATTTTACATAAATTTTATGTAAAAAATTTTATATAAAATCCATCATATCTTCATTCACCTCTGCTCTCTCCTTTGGAAAAAACAGTGACATAAATAAGAATGAATAACACTGTGTGTCCCTCACCACAAAACTTGCCAAGATGATGGAAAAAGCTAATGGAAAAACCTAATTTCACATTAATTCCTTGTAAGCCTATCCCCATGCCCCAAATCAAAAAACCTTCAGCATAACCAATTAGAAGTGTGTGCTAACACTTGCTTATGGTGGTAAAGTCTTTTAATACAAACAGAAATTGGACAAGAATCTAAACTGGACCTCTATGTGGATAGGTAGATGTCTAAACTGTTGCAGCTAAAGCCCACGCCTGGAGAGTTCTTTCCCACAGAGTATAACCCTGAAGCCACCAGCTAAGTTTTCCCTCCACTGTTTTACTTCTGGGGAGCTGGAGAGTACCTTTAGTTGACTGTAGGGTGATGCTCTCTCCATGTAGAAGACAGAGGGGTCCCTTTTTTGACCCCCACCCAGGGCAGTCTTGCTTCCCATTTCTGCTCTCTGAAAATGGCAGCATTGATCTCACCTAAGCAGGTTCTCTCAGACCACCTTTTTCTCTGTCACTTGAGTCCCATTTTCTGGCTTTGTTCTTCCTCTTGGCAGTCCATCCCATTACTTTTAAAGTCACATTTCTCCGTTCATATAGGGCTACTTACTCTTCTGCTACAATCATCCTTTCTCTTCTTCCTCCAGTCTGTGAGCTGCCCCTTAGCTAATGGTTTTTTTACACCATTTTACAAAGTAGTTAACACACTAACTTTCTACTTCTAACGCACTTTCACTCCAGATCACCTAAAAAACAACAGCCATAACTTTTTGTAAAGGTTTTTTTATCTGTGTATTCAGTCACTCACTGCAGAATGGGTCTTGGTCCGAGGTATCAAAATAAGCTCTCGTTGGTGAATTTTTTGCTATTAACCATTTCTTCCATCTATCAGCATGATAACCTGAAATCCAAAGATTAAATATTTCATTTAGCAAAATCATGATACATGTATAATTGCAAAAAAAAGAATCTAATCCAAAGTGAAAAATTTGGCTTCAATTTTCTTATATATTCTCTGAGAAAGAAAATTGGCTTGGAAAATACAGGAACCACCCGAGTATAACAGAATGTATTATGCAAGTATTTCATTCCTCTAATATATTAGAATCACTAACATTGCCATTTTATAATAGTTATCTATTTATTATAGAGTCCTTATTCTAAAAAATAATGCTTACAGAGCTAATAAAAAAAAAAATCCAAAAAAAGTAGCCCACATATTTGCAGAGATCAGATACAGAACAGCTTTCCTTTATTTTCTCCCTACTATAAGGTCCCGTTATGGATGTGTTTTATTATGAAATAGTTTATAGATCCATTTATGTTTTTTCTTTGAACCTGATCCAACTAAGGTAGGGTGCACATCCTAGTGTAAGGATATTAAAAAGAGACAAATTACAAACTGAAAGCTAACTTCTAATTAAGCATTTTTGAAATTTCATTTTTAAGAAAACCCTGCCAACTAGAAAATGCTCACGCTATTGTAGATCTTTTCAAACTATCCCCAGATCCTCTCTAAGAGCAATAAAGCCCCAAACAACTAAAACCCATTCCAAATCAAAACTTGATTCCAAAGAGTCACAGGATCCCTAAGGTTGCTATAAACATCATTATTCCTAAACAAAACCCACAGGTACTCTAGGGGTCATAATACACTTTGGAAGCCTGAAGTGATGAACTAAGTAGAGGCAGTCTCTCTGTAGAGAGGGTGAAAATCTGTGAACCCATTTCAGTCTGGAAAGCATAATGATCAAAGATTAGGAACATTCAGCACCTGTGCCTAACAGAGGTAACTATAAAATAGACACAGCCATGAACTTTAAATTACTTTAACTACTGGTAGCTTGGGATGTGATCAGGCTCTACATGATCCTACAGATCACTGGAATAGCCCCAGGAAGAGCGAGTCTGGATTTCCCACAAAATCTCATCCAGCCCAGAGCAAATATTGTAACTCTTACCCAGTACTGGACAGGACATCGGCTGGAAAGCATCACAATCAACACATTTTCCTCTCTTGTAATCCAAGTAAGACTCACAAGGATATGTTATTATGTCACACTTTCTTTTCAAAGATGCTAAGAAGAGGAAAACAGCTCTTTGATGGTCACACTTGAAAAACTGAATTCCTTCAGGAAAGAAAAAAAATGAATATGTAATCATTTTTATTAATGAAGAAAAAGTGTTATAAAAGTAGAATCATAGAATGGTTTGTGTTGCAAGGGCCCTTAAAAATTATCTCATTCCAACCTCCCTGCCTTGAGCAGGAACACCTTCCACTAGACCAGGTTGCTCAAAGCCCCATCCAACCTGGCCTTGGACACTTCCAGGGATGGGACATCCACAGCTTCTCTGGCCAACGTGTGCCAGTGCCTCATCACCCTAACAGCAAAGAATTTCTTCCTAATATCTAATCTAAACCTTTCCCCTTTTCAGTCTGAAAGCCCTTTTTACCACCAGTGCAGCTTGTAAGAGCTGCTGGAACCTGGCCAGTTCCTGAAAGGTCTCTTAGCTGTTATTTGGGTTTCTCTGACTCCAGGAATCCCCTGCTCAGCCTGACTGGTTCTCAACCCACTCAGATTTTACTGTAGCTACCACCGCTGTTGCCACTCACCTCTCCTACTCAAGTAATCCCATTTCCCTGAGTCATTCTTAAGCCATGCTTTTATTCCCTGGTTAGTTGAACACCAAGTGTAAAGAGGGGATGCACACACAAGAAGAAGAAACTGGAGACTATTTTGAATATTAGAGACACTGATAAAAGTCTACAGGGTTTTATTTGTAAGAAATAGTCTGCTAAATCCTATCAAATTTACAGAGTTTTTTTGTTATAAAGCATGACTCTGAGTTACAATTTGCCTTGTTCCATTCAGTGCAGACAGTTTTGGCACAAAAATTACCATGAGGAACACTTCAGGGATTCCTCTCCCTAGTTGTCTGGGGTAAAAAATTCCTTTCTCTCCTAACAAAACAAACTGTGAAAATTATACAGATGAAGATGATGCTGAGTCTTAAGGGATTCTCCCATGCATGCAGACACACAAGGGGAAGCCCTGTGCCTTTGCAGCTGCTTTAATTGGTAGCAGCACCGTGAGGATTAGTAATAAGAATCAGATACAGAAACAAACATATCTGAAAAGAATAAACAAAAACAATGGGCAGCAACCTTGCCTAAGATTTATGGAGGTTGAAATGAGCAAAATTCTGGAGCTAAAGGTCTTTTCTTTAAACACTTCCCATCCCAGAGCCTAAAGGACCTGTCCAAAGCCTAGGTCATCACTGCTGACCAGGAGGAACCTAAGACAAAGTGAAGACTTGCAAACTTTGCCTTCCGTGTCATATGCAAGTGATCCCGTCCAAACTTGGTCACAAACATGTTCCCCCATGCCTAGCCTATATATAACCACAGAAATATAAAGATCACTACATGCAGAGTGTGTATATAATATAATAACATAATTCCACCATACCCACATTAATGATATGGTGGAATATGTATGCCTACAGGAAGATTCATATTTCAAAAAAAAAAAGGAAAATATCTTTGTTATTTCTCATTTGCTCAGTTGGGATGATAAGAAAGATTGCAATGGTCTCAGCTCCTTTATTTCCCAATATGTGCAACGTACATTCAATTCAATTGAACCTTTTTTGATTTCATCTCAAGCGCTTCTCATTAATTAAACACATTTTTATTTACCGCTGAAAACTGTGTTTGGACAACCAGGCTGATCTGTTCCTCCATTTGGATAGAAATCAATGGTTCCTAAAGGTTTCTTGAAACCTAGGGCTAGAGCAAAAACATCATGAATCAAAAAACAATAAGCAGAATTATGAAGTCAATGAATTGTCATGACATTTACTACAAAGTAACATGGAACCCTTAAGAAAATTTTTGTGATTATAGCATTCTTTATTTCTGTAAATCAAAGGCATATTATGAGTTAAAATCCAAAGATTTTTTTCTTTTTAAGAAAAATTATACATAAGTAAAAATGCTATACACAAATGTATACAAATTTGTGTAAGACTCCTACTGCCACAAAAGGGAAAGAACAGAAGCAGCTATAGCAGAAACATTATTTACACAAAGAAATTCATGAAATTCATGTTCTGTCCAGCAACCAAAATTCTTTCACAATGCAATTTTCATTAGAGTAAGGTTTTCTATTTTTTGCACGTTGGATTCTGAATTAATCTCATACAAGCAGTATAGCAAAGTAGAAAAATCTTTATCTGTCCTATAAAAGTAAGCAAGATTCCATGAGTAATATTTAATTCAATCTGACCTACCTTCATTTTTACCATAAATTATCCTTATTTACAAAATCAGAACATTGCAAAAAAAATGGTCTTTTACAGCTTCACATATAAATTTGTATAGTAAAATGCTTAATTTTTAATATAATTAAAGATAAAGCAGACTTTACAATGTTCTTCACTTTAACCTTACAGTAACATGATTTAGGATTTTGAGCAGTGGCTCTGCAGCGTACTAACATGACACAGCTGAGACTGGCTGTCTCAGAAGTGATTAATTCAGTGATAATCACGTGCTTACAGCCTCTATGTTCACACACATTAGAACAGCAAAAGAAACACACTTCTGCAGCACTTTTTGGGTGTTACTGAAATAGCTTATCCCTTCTCTTTTGCTTTCCTCTCTTTCCTCAAGCTGGAAAAGGAAAGTTAGGGCTGTGTCATTACCATCAGTATCTGAATGAATTACATCAACAAACTGTGCATCAGAACGATCCAATCTCCCATCTGGCGGCTCGTGCGTGAATGAAGGTCCCGCTGGATCAAGACCTAAATGAAAACAACACTAACATTGTAAATCTTGGCCTTAGTTCCTGTACAGATACATAAAATACTAACATTTGAGCACTATTCATCAATGACTTCATTTTCCTGGCATAAAAATGAAAATAAAACCCAGCACAGTTCTGCTCTTCAACTCGCTAAGCTAAGCAAAGGTTTCTATGACAAGACTGATCAACCCATATCTGTTAATTTCTCTCTCTTCCTCATTAGTTGTGCTCATCTCCCATTTATCCAGATTAACATAAACCAACAGCATGAGGATTCAAATCAGGACAATTAATTTTGTCATTTTCCCCAGAAAATACCATACCTATTATGCACTTCATAAAAATGAAATGCACAATATAACTGCTCTCACCACCAGAACACAACTATTCAGAAACTCAGGTAGCACAGCATTTCACTTAAGTGGCATTTAGATGCAGCACTCAATTTTTTGATTTGAGAGACTAGAGGGAAACAGGTTGGAAAATTTAATCTGTAATTTATGTCCTGAGGGCAGACTTTCACAATTTCCTGAACTTCTGCCAGGGATGTGTTTCTCCTCATGTATGTTATTAAATAGTCAGTTCTAATTTGTCAGTATTTCAGTGCTAGCACCCCTGTGATTTGCAGGTATGGCAACATAAGGTACAATAGAATATGTGTATTGGGATTAAAAAAACTTACCTGTAATTCTTCCAAGTTTGCCATTATACTTCTGACCAACAAAACCAGCTACATGAGCCCCAAGACTAACTCCAATCATATACATAGAGTCAAGAGAAGCTCCATGCACCTATCATGGGAAAAAAAACACCAAAGCCACAACCATACACAGAGTTAACTGAACAGAAATCAGTAGACTGATTTAGTTTTCACTTTTTGTCACTACTCTCAGTTATATTTCTAAC